CACACTTACAATTCATGTAAATTACCAAAAAGAGGTCAAAAGATGCAAAAATAGCCCTTAAATGTGTTAGTCACACAGTAGAAATATGGTGATAATAAAATTTATTAGTAGTATTACTACGATAACAGTCATTAAGTAAATTATTACTTGAATCTTGAATCTTTTTACTATTCTTAAAATCTGAGTACATTTTGCCCAAGTTTGATTTTCTTGAAATATTTTGGCTGTTCTGGAGGCTGCATGCAGATTGAACACCTTTTTTTTTTTTTTTTAAAGAAAAAAAATGTTTGAAGGCTGTTGAGAAACAATTTTTTTTGTATGATTCTTAACTTTTATGGCAATTCTTTCAGTTATATGAAAATTATATGCATCTCGTAGAACAATTTACTTGTTATTTAAAAAACTGAAGACTAAGTATTATCCTGTAATGAATTGTTTACTTTCTGCTTAGAAAATGAAGGATGTGTCAGTGTTTCTAGATTTTCCCTGGAGCTTTGTTGGTTTGAATATAACTGCTTCAAATAACTCAATTTACAGTTAATTAAAAATGTATTTTGTAGAGAAAGTGGAAGGAATAATGGGTGTTATTGACAGGTTTCTAGTGATCTAAGTCATAATCTACAGATAGTGTTGACAGTGTTATACCTATCTGGAATATTAGAAGCAAAAAAATTGTAGATTTATTACTGAGACACCTCAGGAAACACCTAGCTTTTCTTGTGTGCTATTTTGTATAAGTGAGAACTGGATGTAACAGAATGAATGTTGAAATATTACTTTCCATTGTTTGAATCTGGATAATGTTTCCTTGGATGAAGTTGGAAACTTCTTAATAAATATGCTGCCTGCATGTTATATTTGAACCATTTGGCTGTACATGAGAGCGACCCTGTCCTTCTGTTAGTGCACACAATATCTGCTGAATTGTTACAGTTTAGGGGCTATCTAACACTGTATACAGTACAAAAGAGAACAATAGACTTTATTCTGCTTGACAAAATTGCATTTCACACAGGTCTGCTTTGTTAACTTATAACTATTTCTATCTTTAATTAATGTTTACTTTATGCTTAGCTTTTACTATTTTACAATATTGGCCTTTATTTAGCTTCAAAATCTATCATTAGACAGGCTGCAAATGGTCGCACATATACAGCTTAATTGGCCAGCATATCTTTGTTATATTTTGTTCTATAATTCTTTTGTTAGTAATATTCACATTATAACAAGTTTATATGAAGATTCTATCTTATGAAATCTGGTGGAGTGTTTTATTTTGCAGTAAAAAAAAAATGTTACACAAATTAACTAGGTTTTCAAATTTAAAAGTCTTTGGTTATTCAGTTTGCAAATGGGGGCTATTTTGACAGTCATCAAACAGGTGGTTTCTGGACAAAAGCTTCAGTTCAGATGATTTATTGTAATGAAATGTGGTACATGTATATAGCTTACTTATGTCGAGAACTTACTTGGGATTGATGTTGGGTCCCCAAGGGTTAAGGTCACTGTTGCTAAAAATAGAAAAATGATTTTGGCCCAATAGCTAGAGTCAGGAATGAAATAATGTAATCAAACTATGTTTGTAGCAAGCTCACTTGGAATTGCTTGGGAATTACCTTGTTTTGAGGTTAAGGTCACTTTTACTAAACAGAAAAATTGTTTCCAATCAATAACTTAAGTATGACCTTAACCTTGACAAAAGAAACTTGACTGTCAAGGTCAAATATGAACTTTTCTTTCAATTTTATAAAACTTAATTTTCTTATAGATGCACTAATTTGATTAATATTCGGGCAAGACAAAATGCTAGACAACATCATCATACTGCTTGCAGTGATTATGACTTGGAATCCCCAATAACCTTGATCAACAAGGTCATATTTTGAAAAATTTTAAGATTTCCAATAACTTATTATTGATAGATTTGGCTCATAATTGGACAAAATAACATTTAAGAACTAAAGCGTCATTTTAGTGATTAAAATATGACCTTGACCTTTGAATGATCTTCACCCTAAAAATTTAATCATCTTTTGAAATTAGAAAAAGGTAAGGGTTATAATATTCCCTGCTGACAATGACTGTGGTAAACCTGGTAGCCATGCTTTTTGTTTACTTTAAATTAAGGATCGATGCATTAATTTTTTTTGAGCCTTTAAATTAAAAAAGTATTGGAAGTATACTGTAATACTATGTTCTTCATCGATAGGTTTTAAAGACAAGTTTTTTTCTATAGATAATATAGGATATAATGATTGATCCGATAATTGGCAGTTTGTATTATAGTCTTTATAAGGCTTTTAACTAAAGCTGGCATTGTTACAGCAAGTCTTGCAATTAAATTATAGCTCTGTATAATTTTAAAGTCTTATAGCAAGAAAGGAAACATAACAGAATACTGTATAAACATTATAATTCTATTGCAAAACTCAAATTTATTGCAAAACTTGTAACATTTGTTACAGGGTGCGAAAAATATGCAGCCTGACCAAGACTCAAACTTTCAGAATACTGTACCGCGACTATACTGTCTGAGCTATCTGGCCGATTACACATCCTCTCCCTTAAAAAGTGAACAGTTCTAAACCATGACACATTAAAACTAAGTTTGCATAAAAAAGACAGATCTGAATCTTATAGGATGGTCATGATGATGTTACAACTGAATATAAAGTGATTATTGACCAAATAATTGGCAGCCTAATTGACAGTTGTCTGTGGCCATTATGTGAGATCAGACATGATGAAGAGTGATTGTCTTGCTGAAATTGGTCCCATCTATCAGACCTTCAGTGCTTTCGATGTTTCCTTTTGAATCAGTCTGGTTCAGTATGAAGTGGAGTGGTTTAGTATGAATTTTTTTATCTGAAACCTCACTAAATATTATACATATATATAATTCTCCTTCAGATAAGGGTATACACTGTAGAAGTCAGTTTTTGAATCAATTTAATATTGCTCAGGTAATTTGTGAAATAGTTATTTTAGTTTCTATGCTAATGTGTGAGTAACGTCCATTTCTATTTATGCTGAAGTAATCGATTTTTAGCTCAACTATTTGCAGAATAATCGAGCTAATGCAGTCACCCATTTTTTGGCGTCGTCGTCCCTGTGGTTAACTTTTTGCGTGTAAGCTGGTATCTCCATAACTACTGAAGGGAATGGATTGATACTTCACACACTTGTTCTCTGTGATTATCTAACGTGATTGGCACAAGTCCCATAACTCTGATTTGCTTTTTTGCATAATTATGCCTCTTTTTCGCCTTAGAAATTCTTGGTTAAGTTTTTGCGTGCAAGCTGCTATCTCAATAACTACTGAAGGGAATGGATGGAAACTTCACACACTTGTTCTCTGTGATTATCTAACATGATTGGCACAAGTCCCATAACTCTGTTTGCTTTTTTGCATAATTATGCTCCTTTTTCGACTTAGAAATTCTTGGTAAGGTTTTTGCATGCAAGCTGGTATCTCCATAACACTAAAGGGAATGTATAAAAACTTCACACACTTGTTCTCATTATGCTAATCTAACATGATTTGCACAAGTCCCATAACTCTGATTTGCTTTTTTGCGTAATTATGCCCCTTTTTCGACTCACAAATTCTTGGTTAAGTTTTTGCGTGCAAGCTGGTATCTGCATAACTACGAAAGGGAATGGATTTAAACTTCACATACTTGTTCTCTGTGATTTTCTTAGATGATTGGCACAAGTCCCATAACTCTGATTTGCTTTTGTGCATAATTATGCCCCTTTTTCGACTTAAAAATTCTTGGTTTACAGTTTTTGTAAGCTGGTATCTCCATAACTACTGAAGGGAATGGATTGAAACTTCACACACTTGTTCTCTGTGATTATTTAACATGATAACAAGCCTTTGTACCTTTTCGGACAATTTTATGTATTCATATAGGTAAGCATTATTATACTCAATGAAACACACTAATGTGACAACTTTTCGAATAGTCGAGCGTTACTGTCCTTCGACAGTTCTTGTTATCTATCAACTTTTTCTTGATAATTTTGCTCTTTCAAATGGTTTAGTAAAAATGGTGCAAGCCAATTGTCTTAAATTTTTGCAATGAAATGACTTATTTGTTAAATTTGACATTTTATGCCTGGGTAATATGAATAAATTTTTCATTAAGCAGAAAGAGACTTCTATACCAAATTCTTATTCACTATAATTGTATTTATTACTAAAACACTGAATAAGCAAACGATTGCTCAAAATATGGGCAGTGAGCAACATTTTGGATAATGCAACCTTAATTCTTAATTTTTTTAATGATAACATAAGGCTTAATGGGCCTTTAATTTAGTATATGTATATAGACATCATGGTTTGATAACTTAACCATAAGTGACGTAGTACAACTTTAATGAAAACTGAATTGTTTCTCATTCTGTATTCATTGGGGATTATGGAAGACAAATTGAATATAATAAAGTTTGACAGAAATGTGATATTATTTAATAAGAACAGAAGTTGATAGGAATCATTTGGTTTGTTTTATTCAGATTAAAGTTTTGAGGGATTTTTATCTTGATTCTTAAAAAAAAGTTTTTAAAATCTTCTTTGGAATGATACTTTGTTTATTATGAGTTATTTCATGTGGAGGATAGTTACTGAAAGTTCACTATCTATTCCAAATTTCAGAAATTGGTGCTTTAAGAAGTACAAAAAGTCTAAGAAATGAGCAGCGTCACGACAAAACCAACATAGTGCGTTTGCGACCAGCATGGATCCAGACCAGCCTGCGCATCCGCGCAATCTGATCAGGATCCATGCTGTTCGCTATCAGTTTCTCTACTTGTAATAGTGTTGGTAAGCGAACAGCATGGATCCTGATCAGACTGCGTGGATGCGCAGGCTGGTCTGGACCCATGCTGGTAGCAAACCCATTATGTTGGTTTTGTCATGACGCGGCTCAAATGAATACATATATAATGCCCTGAAGAATTTAGGACAATCTTGTGTTTTGCAATGTTCCCTGCGGAAATGATTATAGCCAAACCATGTTTGAACCATGTTTGAAACATGGTTGCTCATGTTTCAAACCTTTCCATAAAACATGTTCTAGCTTTGTGCTGACAATGTTATAAACATGTTTAAAACATGGTTGATGATGTTTGTAAATTGGCCCCCAGTTCCAAAACATGTTTGATCATGGACAATAAAAGTTATGAAATGACCATATTTCAGCAACATATTTAATACCATTAAATGGTTCTGATATGGTAGTCAGAAACATACTGCTGAAAAGACTATGTTTTGGCCATGATATAAGTGACAATGATGGGGCTTCGTTTTAGCCATGTATAAACCATGATGTAACCATGCAGAATTTATTACAATTACAGTCAAACCATGTTTTAAACATGATTGTTCATGTGTCAAAACATGTTCTAGCTGTGTTCTGACAACATTATAAACATGTTTGAAACATGGTCAATCACGTTTGTAAATTGGCTCCCAGTTCCAAAACGTGTTTGACCATGGACAAGTTACGAAATGACCATATTTCAGCAACATATTTAATACCAGTATGTGGTTATGATTTGGTAGTATGACACTTTTACTAAAAATACTTCTATAAATAACAAAAACAATTTTAACTGTGACCTGCGCCGCTTCAAGGCAAAATATGAAAAAATAAGTGGACTGTGTACACTTAAATATCAAAAATACACTTGTCAAATAATGGCTTATATTGTTAAGTATCAATTGTGCAAGAATTGCCTTTGTGTCACAAAATATGGAAAGTTCAAAACCATAACAAGTTATTTTACAATATGAAAAGATTAAAACGTTTGCGCCACATCACTAGAATTCTCTGAGTTAAGTTAAATTTACAGCTATAAAGCCTATAATCAACAACTTTTTTTAAAATGATTCCGCAATGATAGTTTTCAAACTCAACCTTGAAACTGTGAACAAAACTGTGTATTATATTAAAACAACCTATACATTAAATCATCCATAATATCCAGGGGTATATCATTAACTATGTCAGCGATATACACAAATCACATCAGATAAACTGTGCCAACGGCAACATCATTTAGAAAGAAAATAATGGCACTTGAAACTTAAATGTTACTTGAAAACTGATGACTTCAAGAGTAACTGTAACATCAAAGTAACTGGAGAGAATTACTCCTTCGAACACCTCCTCTGCAGCTTCTTCTGCTCACTGTGTATTTTTTTGCGTGATATCTTTATGTTTTATTGCTGGAAACTTACTCTTAAGAATAGATTTTATTTTTGTAATTTTTGTGAAGTCTAGTGCTTTATTTTAAAGACTCAAGATTCACTTTAGTATTAGCCCTCTTGCCACTGACAGACGATTGCAATATTGTTTCTTTGTCAAAGAAATGCAGCAGCAGTATTTCAACAGCATTGAATTCATTGTCAGCATTTTCCATCAGTTGGTTTAAATCTATGTTGGCCTCGCTTTTCTCTCCCTTTGTGGTATTTGCTGCTGCTGCTGCTTCTAATTTTCTTACTCTTCTGCGGAGGCTTCTTAAGTCATCCACAACTGCATCCAGCTCATCTTTGGTGACATAGTCTTTCTGGCTGAAATAATCATTATAGGCTATAATCATCCTGTGACTAAACAATAACAGAAATTATTTATAAACTATATTACATGCACAACTAGGCCTACTTTTTTATCACAGCTGTGAGGTTTTATTAAATGCAGGTAGTTGCAGAGAAATTACTTGGACAGTTTACCTCAAGATACACAGACTGACTGACAAACACCTGAATCCAATAAATTCCCATGTTTCATATCTGTGGTATAATTATGGAACAAGATGACTTAGTTGATGGTCTTATATCATTAATAAGACTTAAGAAAACACGCTAATTAATGTCTCTGAAAAACTATATTTTAGAAATAACATTAGCAATCCTTGTAATAAAAGGACACATAACTCTGCAATGCTATGCATCAAAATAATGTCTTGCACACCTACATTATCTAGTGATGGTTGATAGCAAGATTCAATGCAATCATTTAAAAAGGAGTTTGCAAAATAATAAGACCGAGTAGTCAATATTTCAAGGTTTTTTAACGATTAAGGGCACATAACTTTGGGCATACTGGTGTGATTCAGCCCATAAAGAACATGATGTTTGTGATGTTTTTCCATTTTAAGCCCTGGTGGCTATCTTGTTAGAGAGGCAGAATTAATTTAACTTTTTTTAGACAATGAATTTGGATAAAGTTGATTGTAAACGTTTTGTAGCAAATTTTAATGACAAATAACACTAGACATTTACAGTGTTCACAAAAAGATCCTCCTTGCTCATAATACTTACAGTACTCTTCTCTTGTTCTTCTTATGATGTCATCAGCAGTCTCTTCCTCAAAAAGAAGAGAATTCAAGTAACCTTGAAACTTCTTTCCCTTGCTTTTAAGAACCTCTGAAAAAAACACAGTTCATGAAACTAGGAAGGCATACACATCAAAGGTGCTAGTGGCATTGATTTGACCTAAAATGTGTTTAACCTTGTTATTTATGCACTAAAACATCAATATATTAAAAAAAAAAAAAAAAAAAAAAAAATTCACTTTTCAGGTACGAAAATTATGGGTACGCCGGTTATCTGTGTCGGGCGGTAATATCGTCGGATTTTTGCATGGAATCAATGCACAATATATTTTTCTATTACAATTTATTATTTACAGATCCCCAATTAACCGCTAGTTAATGTTATAAAGCCCGAAAGTAAGAAATCAGCAGTCTTGGGAGGTGGGGTGTGGTAAATTAATTAAACACCGATACTGCCACTTACGTTAAATATCTGTTACTGCATATCGTGGCCTGTCGCAAAATAGCTCAGTACCTAATGTTTCTAGTAAATTATATTTGAGTATTCTATATATAAAATCTCAACCGGACAATCATTCTGCAAACTGCATTTGCCGCGCACTCTTTGCAAAGCATCGACTTACTTGCAATTAAAATGGCTAGATACTTTTTGCACTTGAACTTCACTCGAGTTTTGGATCCTATTGTAGCCCCCGTCTCTAATGCTGAATTCTGTACCAATGACCAGGCACTCTCTTCTGGCCAGAAAACAAGACTTGTCTCCAATGCTGACATGTTTTTTCGAACGTCTTCCCGCAAATTAAACTCAATGCGCACGCGTCAGAAACCATGTGCTTTCTCAATCGCAACTTTTCGGCCCTTTCCGTCAGTCTTATAGATAATGTTCCGATTGGTGCTTTCTTCCCGGACTACGGCGGAAAAACACGAATATTTTCGGGTAGGTATAGCCGACGTCGAAACAGCCAGATAAACAGGTGAGTAACTTGTATTTATTAAAAAAATTCATTTATGTTATCAATCTTTGGTCTATTTTGTAAAAAAAAGAAAAAAAAAAGATATCGTTACGTTATCTCGGACATGATATTACTCACGTGGCTGTGCAATGTAATCCGTATATAAACAAAACAGGAAGCACACAAGTTTCATTTTGTTGTTAAAAAAGTAATATAGCACTCGCAGACACTGGTAAAAGTGATATTTATTTGAATTTAATTTAATGTGATTCAACATGTCGAAATATAAAAAGATGGAAAAGAATACAAGATCTCAAGTCACGGAAAACTAGTACGTTTAGTCATTTCGACCCAAAAACGTTTCGGCCCCAAATTACCCAAGACGTTTCGCCCCTTTACCAAAACTGTCATTTTTGTTCATAAAGTCTTACCTTTATGTATTTTAAAAACATTACATTAAATTAATAAGTAAATAAATTAATGGCAAACGTATAATAGTGCCTCATACTGTCATACAGAGCTCTCGTTTGACATGGGACACGTGAAAATCCGGTAAATTTATGAACACATTTGACACCTACATTTGTTCAAATCACACTCAATAAAAATGTCACCGTGTATTCCACACAGCATTGTTTATAGCATGTGCACTGAATCGTGACATCAGTGGATGTAATTTGACAGCGCTAAAAATAGCTCTACACAACTGATAAGAATTACATGCTTGAGATGTCAATTATTTTACAATATGTCTTTGATTTACTTGGAGTACCTGTACATTTGTTATTTCTTTTTTCGTTGAATAGTCCCTAGTACATTTTGGTATTTAAAATTTATATGATATAATTTATTATACAGCATACCAGTAAAGATAATTTTTGTAACTTAAAAATAATTCATGTTAGAAAAAAATGATTTGACTCCTGAACATTTTGGTCAAAGAATCTTTGACCTGAAAATTCTGACACTACTGAGAGCCCTGTTCTTACTTATACCATAATAAATGACAGAGGCATCTGTTTCAGAAAGGTGATATCTTTCCCGTGGCTTTAATTCCATCGGGTGCAGGGGAGAGACATGCATTTTTCACAAGAAACATCTTGTTATACCATTGTTTTATCCGCTTGGGTTATTCTTTTACTATCCTGTTAATTTTTCAGATGAATTCATCAAAGAAAGACTGTTGTGATGTTGTGAAAATTGGGAAAAAGACTAATTTCAGATGTACTCTTTGTGGAGCTCACCGTTCTACTAAAAACAGGGTTTTTTCACATCTGGTGGATTGTCATTCCTTAAGTAAGTGTAACATCACTGTCAAGGTAACCTGGTTCTTTGGACAGGCCATGTTTTGTAAAGTTTTGTCAAGAAAATGGACATTTCTCATGGAGAAATGCAGTGCACAAGAACTGTAACCTTGTAATTCCTCCCATAAGTTATTGCTCTTCTTTATTTTCATACATGTACTTCATTTTTGTGTCGCCTCTACGGAGCAGTGGCGACATATAGGGATCACTTCTCCGTCGTCTGTTTGTCTGTCCGTCCCTCCGTCACAAAACTTGTCCGGACTACTCCTCATAAACTACTGGTGCAATTTCATCCAAACTTTACAGAAATGATCAGTACCAAGTCTAGTTGTGCATATTGTCAGAATTTTCCGGTCAAATGATTTTTGTCAGAGTTATGGCCCTTTAATAATTTTTATTTTTAAAGTTTGTCCGGACTACTTCTCTTATACCACTAATGCAATTACAATGAAACTTTACAGGATTAATCTGTAGCTCAAGTCCTTGCGCATATTGCACGGGTTTTCCGGTTGAATGATTTTTGGCTGAGTTATGGCCCTTTGATAAAAAGGTGTTTTTTTCTGTGTGTTGCCAGATACACAAAAGCTTGTCCGGACTACTGGTGCAATTTCATCCAAACTTTACAGGAATGATCAGTACCAAGTCTAGTTGTGCATATTGTCAGCATTTTTTGGTTCAATGATTTTGGTCAGAGTTATAGCCCTTTAATTATGTTTATTTTTAAAGTTTGTCCGGACTACTTCTATTATACCACTAATGCAATTTCAATGAAACTTTACAGGATTGATCTGTAGCTCAAGTTGTTGCGCATATTGCACGGGTTTTCCGGTTGAATGATTTTTGGCAGAGTTAGGGCCCTTTGATAAAAAGGTGTTTTTTTCTGTATGTTGCCAGATACACAAAAGCTTGTCCGGACTACTCCTCATAAACTACTGATGCAATTTTATCCAACCTTTACAGGAATGATCAGTACCAAGTCTAGTTGTGCACTGTCTGTCTGTCTGTCCGTCTGTCACAAAACTTGTCCCAACATGAAATTGGCCATCATGAGGCGACACATGTGATTACTGATCGCTCTTGTTTTCTCTGGATTGTAAGTTAATTTAAATATCAAGGGTATTGTCATGAAACTTGATACATGAACAGAACCCTGAGTCTAAGTGTGGAGAAGTACAATATACAAGAACTATTACTCTTAATTTCTTGAAAGTACTAGATTTAGAAAGACAAATTCACATGGCAAATTTTGGTTGGAAGTGTAGAATTATGTTTACAATCAAATCATAAAAAGTTCATTTAATCTTCCAGTTTTGATCACAGGCATGAGTATCTGACATTTTTATGCCACCGCAGCATCTGCGATGCGGTGGCATATAGCGATTCACCTGTGTGTGTGTTTGTTTGTGTGTGTGTGTGTTATATAGGTTATATATAGTGAACTTCAAAAATCTTCTTGTGAAAAACCACTAGTCCAATTTCAACCAAACTTGGCAGGATTGATCCTTGGGTGAAGGGCTTCCAAAGTTGTTCAAAGAATTTCATTCCATGCAGAAATCTGGTTGCCATGGCAACCAAAAGGGATTATAAGAATAAATTTAAAAAATCTTCTTGTAAAGACCCAAAAGGCCTAGAGCTTAGATATTTTGCATAAAGCATTGTCTGGTAGACCTCTACCAATATTGTTCAAATTATAGCCCTGGGGTCAAAATCGGCCCCGCCCCGGGGTCATTGATTTTAACTATATGTACATCTAGTAAAAACTTAAAATACCTTCATGTAAATACCCAAAAGGCCTAGAGCTTAGATATTTTGCATAAGGCATTGTCTGGTAGACCCTTACCAAGATTGTTCAAATGATAGCCCTGGGGTCAAAATCGGCCCCGCCCCGGGGTCATTGATTTTCACTATATGTACATATAGTAAAAAACTTAAAATACCTTCTTGTAAAGACCCAAAAGGCCTAGAGCTTAGATATTTTGCATAAGGCAGTGTATGGTAGACCCTTACTAAGATTGTTCAAATGATAGCCCTGGGGTCAAAATCGGCCCGGCCCGGGGGTCATTGATTTTCACTATATGTACATATAGTAAAAACTTAAAAATACCTTCTTGTAAAGACCCAAAAGGCCTAGAGCTTAGATATTTTGCATAAGGCATTGTATGGTAGACCTCTACCCAGATTTTCAAATTATAGCCCTGGGGTCAAAATCGGCCCCGCCCCGGGGGTCATTGGTTTTCCTTATATGTATATAGTAAAAACTGATAGTAAAAACTTTAAAAAAAAAATTTCTAGCAATTGACAAATGCTAGAGGTTAGATATTTTGCATGAAACATTGTGTAGTGATATCAGCTGACCTAGATTTTGACAAAGTGTCTAACTGTGTTGTCCTTTGATGTAGTCATGAAATTAATAGGCTGTGTGAAATATGACCTTCACCACCAAATTCACCAGACTCAAGTGCATTGATATATTCCTACTCTGATCTTTTATTGGATTAACAATAGATTTAACCACTAATCTGATAATAAGAATTAGATAGGTCAGGGATCTATGCATTATGACAATCTTCAATTGCATAGAAACAAAAAAAAATCTGTTCCTACACTACTATTTAGTGTTGTATTAATGCGGTGGCATAGCATTTTTCTCAAATGCAATCTTGTTTTTTTATATTTAAGGCCTGTTATGATATATTCAAACATTTTTATCAGTCTGGGTCTTTTGATTGATCCCAGGTCTGATACTGAGTATTTTTAAGCTATGATTATCACTTTGTATCAAAATTATACAACATAATACATTGAATTATTTTTAGGTCCAGCTAAGCCAGTTTACAAACTATACAATAGAGATCTGAGTGTGCCTGTTCCAAAAAGAACTACTTCCAGACGAGTACTTGTACCTGATCAGGGTAATTTATAACATATTTTTTTACAAATACATAGCCAGTCAAGTAAGATAATTGATTAAATATTGTACTGGGTATGAGTCACACAATAGACCTTTCTCTGGTAATACTTTTTGAACATTGTGATTTTTGTGTAGTACAAGAAATAGGATAAATTAAACAATTATTCACCATCAGAAAATATTACAAATTACTGACTAGTTAAACTTTGAACATGCACAAATATTTCTTCTTCTGATTTGTCGCAAGTTGCCAATTTGCATACTTTTCATCATACCAAAATGAAATAATGATCCACTTATACAGTATTTCTTTAAGCCTTGGATGGTCTCCTACCAAAGTTGTCCTACATATGGTTTTGGTTTGTTGCATAATAAGGTCACAGTCAGATTTCACAAATCTTGTCCACAGCCAAAATGCCCAGAACTTTCACATTTGACATGCATCAGCATTTAGAGTTCTTCTTTTAACCAAACATAGTATTGCTGTGATGTGTATCTAAGTCTATTATAATGTATATATTCATTCTTACAGTTCCAAAAGCAGAAATCACAGATGAAAATCTGGCCTTACTGTCTTCAGAAAAGGAAACAGAAGAATCATCTCAGAATAAAGAAACATTTCAGATTGAAAATTTTATTAGTAATATTACAGAACATGAAACTTTTTGTGAAAATCATATCCTTATCGATTACAATGAAAATGGAAATTTGTTGACTGATGAAACAGAATCAATGCAGTCTTTAATGGAAATTGGTGATGGTTCTGAATCACATGAGGGGTCTGAATCTGATGATAACAGTGATGTGCTGGATAATACAGATTCTGTAAGTTCTGATACAGATTCTGTAAGTTCTGATGCCAGTAGTGTAAACAATGAACAGTGTGAGTCTGCTCAGTGCATTAATAAGAAAAAAGATTATTCATTAGCGTTCCTTTCATTTGCCATGAATTACAATTTGGCTGGAAACTGCATTGATGACTTGATACTTTTACATAAGTCAACAAATCCACAATCAAAATCGTGGCTTCAAAATAATTATAAACAACTATTAAAAAAAACTGTGCTTTCTGGACATCAGGATAATTATCGTCAACACCACTATTGTATGAAATGCTTCAAACTTTTCCAGCTGACGATCCAAATGAATATAAATGTAAAACACATGGGTGTGACGGACTTCAATATATGGGGCCGGAGAATGTCCAGTTAGATAAGACAAGAAAACATTATTTTTAAATAAGTATTAGGGCGGTATTTTTATAACAGAAGGTCAATTCATTTAGAAGTACTTGTTCAAGGTAATAAAAAAATATCGATTGACAAATACATCAGTGTGTTAGTTTTCTGTCAGGGACAAAATATGATACATGTCTTATATTTTTAAAGCAGCTTTAAGGGAGAATAGAAGGAAAAAATTATGTAGTGTGATTGTTAAACAAATTCTCAGACTGTAAAGTAGTTGTGGACAAAAAAATGAAACTGACTGAACTGCCATGTAGACAAACATGTTATGACTCTGATTTCAATAAATGATCTGGCAATGTTGTAGCTATCATGCCAGTTGTGGTCAAAACAGATGTAGTTCAAGCCATTATATTATCAAATGAAAAAAACATGTTATGGTCTTCATTTATTTGGATATCCATGATATGCTGTCATTTTAACTATGATTATTACCATGGTCAAAACATTTCTTTTGCTTTGACTATGATGATCCATGATATGGACATGTTCATAACATGGTCATACCACAACCATTTCATAGTCCCCAATTTATGTAATTGCATATCAAGGTCATATCATTGGCAACCATGGTGCAACCATGGTCGGCATTGATATGGATATGGTCATTTCCGCAGGGGTTTGTTTGTTGTTGATTTAGAGCATGTTAGATGCTGATAAGTATAAAAAGCAGGCAAATGGGTATAAAACAATTTTTCATAAAAGTTAGCAAAATATAAAAAAGTGGTATACAGTCAGCTATCGTTATCTCGACATCGCTTTTCTCGATATTTCGTTATCTCGATGAAATTTTGAAAGTCCCGATTTTCTTCCTTCTTTATCTATATTGGAAATATTTGTTTATCTCGATATTTTTATTTCGATATTTTCAGTATCTCAATGTACAATTTCAGTCCCAACAGTTATTTTCACACTATTATCCTTTGTTTATCTCGACTAATAGTTTTCTTTCGTCTGTTCCCTTCAGACGTGTGAAAAACACAAACTAGACGATAATTGCACAATAGCGCGTGTCATAATGATGATTATGTTTGTAACATGTTTAGCTGTTTTTATAAAAGTTAATCTATTTAGCGTGTTGATTGACTTATGCCCAAAATGAGTGAATTTTACGTTTTTTTATAAATATTCGTACACTGTATCAATTCATTATAACTTGAAATGTAAATGAAATAGTGAAAGTATAGAAACGCTATCGTTGCAATATTGTTTCACAACATCACCACCAAATCAATCAGCGGTCGAACAACATCGAGAAAGACCGGAGGATATCCGGATCAACCACCCTGAAAACAATGTTTTCACTATATTGGTGTATTACTGAGTAAACCTCACTATGTGTTTTTATCATACACACCAGTGTTTTCGCTGGTAAACATCCGCTAATGTTACTTTGTTAAAAATTGACTAGGCCTATGAAAACAAGACATGGGGATATCATAGTTTATTTGACATAAGGTATGCACATGTCTTTTGTAAAAATCAGTGTCTGCCTTATTCAAACCCTAATATGTTTATCTCGACATTTCGTTATCTCGATATTTTTTGGACGGTCCCGATGACTTCGAGATAACGAGAGTCGACTGTATTTAAGTCTTCCATAGAAAATAGTAAATAACTATATATATTAATGGCTAAAAGGCAAAAAAATACTTCAGCTGTTAGATTAATAGCTCTTTACTGGAAACTTCGGACTAAAATCCAAAAATAAATTTAAAGCTTTTATAAAAATAGTAGAAAAAACAATACAAAAATGTAATAGGAAACAACGTGAATGTTACGTAACGTGTATACATGCATAAAACAGATGAAATATTATATTGGAAAAAGTATATAACCATTTATAATGGAATGTCTACGCAAAAGAACTTACGGAAATAATTAAATGTCGTATATAATTTTTGCATTTAATCCAGCTGGTGAAAACGTCTTAAGCTTATGAATCCAGTAGGTTTCTCTACATAGACGCTTCATTGTGTCGCTGACAATCTCAAACGGTAAAAATGAAAAGTCATTAAATGAATGATCAATTGAATTAAAATGCGTTGCAACAAGAGTTGAACACGCTGGATCTTTGAAATTTGTAATATCAAATTTATGACTATTCATTCTACGTGAAACCGGTTGAGATGTCTGGCCAACATATTGCATATTGCATTTTTGACAGGAGATTAAATAAATAACATTATTTGTAGAACAGTTTGTAGGGTTTCTCAGTGTATATTTTTCGCCTGTGACACTGCTTGCAAAAGATACATCCGAAGTAATTCGATTACAATGAGAACATCTACTTCTGCTACAAGGAGAAGATGAATGAATTGACATTTGCTTTGAAAAGCTAGAATGCACAATATGATCACGGATATTTTTGGGTCTCTTTAACGCAACAATAGGTTTGTAAGTCTCATAAACATATTTTACAGTTTCACTTTTTGACAACTTTAGTAAGTCCCAATATTTGTTTAAAACGTGACCAATGTTAGGAAGATGAGGATTATAAGTAGCAACAAATGGTATGACAAAATTAGATTGGCTACTTTCTGTGAGTCGCAGTGCCTCATTTTGACTCATAGAATTAATTTTCTCAAATACGACGGATTTTATTCAAAAAATTAAAAATGTTACGTTGAAAAGCAAAGACTCATTATTAGTTACAATGGATGTATCTTCACTATATACATGTATTCCGCACTCTGACGGCATAAACGCATGTGAATATTTTCTAAATGAAGGAAATAGTGATCATTACTTACAAACACCAGTGCTCTCTAATCTTATACGGATAGTTCTTGAAAATAACTTTTTCGAATTTAATAATGAGTTTTTCGTGCAAACGTGCGGTACTGCTATGGGATCATCTATGGCGCCAGCATATGCCTCCCTGTTCATGGGGAAACTGGAAAAGGACTTTATCGAGTCACGAAATATCAAACCGACGCTGTGGCTACGTTTCCTGGATGACATTTTTCTAATCTGGGACGATACTTGCGAGGAACTCGAAAATTTCATTCGTGATCTAAATGATTTTCATCCGACGATTAAGTTTACGCAAACCATTTCCAGTTCATGTGTTGATTTTCTTGATGTGCGTGTTTCCAAAAATGATTGCACTCTTTCAACGAACATATTCGTGAAAAACACTAATAATCATCAGTATCTTCATTATACCTCTTGTCACCCAAAAGCGTGCAAGAATGGTATACCATACAGTCAAGGCAAGCGTTACCGCAGAATAATATCCGATGACAGTACATTCAAGGACTCTCTTGTTGATTTGAAAGACTTTTTTCTGAAACGTGAATACCCGAAAGAAGTAATTGACAATGCATTTGAGAAAATTAATTCTATGAGTCAAAATGAGGCACTGCGACTCACAGAAAGTAGCCAATCTAATTTTGTCATACCATTTGTTGCTACTTATAATCCTCATCTTCCTAACATTGGTCACGTTTTAAACAAATATTGGGACTTACTAAAGTTGTCAAAAAGTGAAACTGTAAAATATGTTTATGAGACTTACAAACCTATTGTTGCGTTTAAGAGACCCAAAAATATCCGTGATCATATTGTGCATTCTAGCTTTTCAAAGCAAATGTCAATTCATTCATCTTCTCCTTGTAGCAGAAGTAGATGTTCTCATTGTAATCGAATTACTTCGGATGTATCTTTTGCAAGCAGTGTCACAGGCGAAAAATATACACTGAGAAACCCTACAAACTGTTCTACAAATAATGTTATTTATTTAATCTCCTGTCAAAAATGCAATATGCAATATGTTGGCCAGACATCTCAACCGGTTTCACGTAGAATGAATAGTCATAAATTTGATATTACAAATTTCAAAGATCCAGCGTGTTCAACTCTTGTTGCAACGCATTTTAATTCAATTGATCATTCATTTAATAGCTTTTCATTTTTACCGTTTGAGATTGTCAGCGACACAATGGAGCGTCTATGTAGAGAAACCTACTGGATTCATAAGCTTAAGACGTTTTCACCAGCTGGATTAAATGCAAAAATTATATACGACATTTAATTATTTCCGTAAGTTCTTTTGCGTAGACATTCCATTATAAATGGTTATATACTTTTTCCAATATAATATTTCATCTGTTTTATGCATGTATACACGTTACGTAACATTCACGTTGTTTCCTATTACATTTTTGTATTGTTTTTTCTACTATTTTATATAGGAAATACTTGTATTTAATAATCCGTGAATGTTTATATATATATATATATATCGAAATCTTTATTAACTTTATTAATTTTTAAATGAAATTTAATATAACGTAACGTAACAATGTATGTTTCCCGCCATCTCGGACGTTGACGTCATGTGACGTCTCTTCCTGTTTATTCACTTCCTGTTTATTCACTGACGAAGAACATATTTGTTCGAAATCGATTTGAATATTAAAAAAATAACTGAATGTACGCGTGTGGTTGTTCTTTTTGGATTCATATATAAAAATAGTAGAAAATTTTGGGGAAAATTAACCTTTAAAGAAAGCATAGTACATTGTCAGTTTGGGCCTTAATTTTGTTTCTGCATATATAATTAATATTCAGCCTGCATGTATATGTGCACCAAGCATCATGCCAGATAATATACATTTACATGTATATACATATTCTTTAATAAACAAATCATGAGATTTCTAAGGTAACCAAAAATATTTACAATGAAAATATTTCTGAAAAATTCATCTATGATAAATTCATGGAATATTTTGGAACTTTTTATTTGAAGTTCTCTGTTTAAGATTGTACTCTTGGGATCCATGGTGTAATGTTAAAGTTCTCTGATACTTTTATTAGATACCACATTCATAACATTTCAAATAGTTCTTGACTTACTCAAGAAAACACATCATTAAATATTAATTGAAATGGGCTATAAATATGAGACTTTTATGAAGAAAACTTTCAAGTTTATATTGGAGAATAATTATTTCGACAAACTGCCATTAAAATTATTGCACCAATGATGAAACACTATCAAGGTTCCTTTTCGCAATTTCCTTTGAGAAATGATGTTAAACAAAAGAGATTAGAGAAAATATAGAGAAAAAATTGAATGTTCTCATTTTTGAGTTATCTGCCCTTGAATTGGACTTTTTCATTAAATTCAAGAGCAGATAATTTACAATGAAGCGAAACAATACATTTTTTTCTTCTTATTTTCATGAAAGCTTACCTTCGTCTTAGTCAATATGCAAAAGTTCAAGAACAAATTTAGAGTGCATAATGAGTTTTCCCCCACTTCTTCTCTTAACCTGTGCATTTTTTTTTTAACAAAATGACCTATTTTTAGCTCACCTGTCACAAAGTGACAGGGTGAGCTTTTGTGATCGCTTTTCGTCTGGCGTCAGTCCGTCCGTCCGTCCGTCCGTCGTCCGTCCGTCGTCCGTAAACTTTTACTTTAAATGACATCTCCTCATAAACCACTAAGCCAATTTCATCCAAACTTCACAGGAATGTTCCTTTGGTGGTCACCTTTAAAAATTGTTCAAAGAATTTAATTCCATGCAGAACTCTGGTTGCCATGGCAACCGAAAGAAAAAACTTTAAATATCTTCTTTTAAAAAACCATAAGAGCTAGAGCTTAGATATTTGGCATGAAACATCTTCTAGTGAGTGTCTACCAAGTTTGTTCAAATAAAAGCCCTGGGGTCAAAATTGGCCCCGCCCTGGGGGGTCATTGATTTTCCCTAAATGCATATAGTAAAAACTTAAAAAATCTTCTTTTAAAGAACCCAAAGAGCTAGAGCTAAGATATTTGGCATGAAACATCTTCTAATGGGTGTCTACCAAGTTTGTTCAAATAAAAGCCCTGGGGTGAAAATTGGCCCCGCCCCGGGGGGTCATTGATTTTCCCTATATGCATATAGTAAAAACTTAAAAAAATCTTCTTTTAAAGAACTCAAAGAGCTAGAGCTTAGATATTTGGCATGAAACATCTTCTAGTGAGTGTCTACCAAGTTTGTTCAAATTAAAGCCCTGGGGTCAAAATTGGCCCCGCCCCGGGGGGTCATTGATTTTCCCTATATGCATATAGTAAAAACTTAAAAAATCTTCTTTTAAAGAACCCAAAGAGCTAGAGCTAAGATATTTAGCATGAAACATGTTCTAATGGGTGTCTACCAAGTTTGTTCAAATAAAAGCCCTGGGGTCAAAATTGGCCCCGCCCCGGGGGGTAATTGATTTTTCCTATATGCATATAGTAAAAACTTAAAAAATCTTCTTTTAAAGAACCCAAAGAGCTAGAGCTTAGATATTTGGCATGAAACATCTTCTAGTGAGTGTCTACCAAGTTTGTTCAAATAAAAGCCCTGGGGTCAAAATTGGCCCCGCACCGGGGGGTCATTGATTTTCCCTATATGCATATAGTAAAAACTTAAAAAATCTTCTTTTAAAGAACTCAAAGAGCTATGGCTAAGATATTGAGCATCAAACATGTTCTAATAGGTGTCTACCAAGTTTGTTCAAATAAAAGCCCTGGGGTCAAAATTGGCACTGCCCCGGGGGGTCATTGATTTTCCTTATATGTGTATAGCAAAAACTTAAAAAATCTTCTTTGAAAAAACCCAAATAGCTAGAGTTAAGATATTAAGCATGAAACATCTTTTAGTGAGTGTCTACAAAGTTTTTTCAAATAAAAGCCCTGGGGTCAAAATTGGCCCCGCCCCGGGGGTCATTGATTTTTATGCCCCCACAAAGTGGGAGCATAAAGCTTTGCACTTGTCCGTCCGTCCGTACGTCTGTCCGTACGTCCCGAAATCTTGTGAACGCAACTCCTCTTAAACCGGATGGCAGATTTTGCTTAAACTTACAGGGATGAACAACCTTAATGTGTAGATGGTAGTAAAGGAAGGAATTTTCGCTGCGACCAAATTTAACAGAATTATGGCCCTTTGTTGATTTTTTCACTATATACAATGTAGAAATTTTGTGAACGCAACTCCTCTTAAACTGGATGGCAGATTTTGCTTAAACTTCCAGGGATGAACAACCTTAATGTGTAGATGGTAGTAAAGGAAGGAATTTTTGCTGCGACAAAATTTAAAAGAATTATGGCCCTTTGTTGATTTTTTCAATATATACCAAATAGAAATTTTGTGAACGCAACTCCTCTTAAACCGGATGGCAGATTTTGTTTAAACTTACAGGGATGAACAACCTTAATGTGTAGATGGTAGTACAGGAAGGAATTTTTGCTGCGACAAAATTTAAAAGAATTATGGCCCTTTGTTGATTTTTTCAATATATACCATTATATAGAAATTTTGTGAACGCAACTCCTTTTAAACCGGATGGCAGATTTTGCTTAAACTTCCAGGGACAACCTTAATATGTAGATGGTAGTAAAGGAAGGAACTTTTGCTGTGACCAAATTTAACAGAATTATGGCCCTTTGTTGATTTTTTCACTATATACTATGTAGAAATTTTGTGAAGGCAACTCCTCTTATAAACCTGGTGGCAGATTTTGCTTAAACTTCCATGGATGAACAACATTAATGTGTAGATGGCAATAAAGGAAGGAATTTTTGCTGTGACCAAATTTAAAAGAATTATGGCCCTTTGTTGATTTTTAGTTTTCAACTTGTGGCACATGTAGTGCAAAAAATATTTGACCTAGAGTCATAAGATTGACAGAACAGTGGCGTGTGGGGGCATTCGTGTCCTATGGACACATTTCTAGTCTTTATATGTGTTTAGCAAAAACTTTAAATCTTCTTTGAAAAAACCCAAATAGCTAGAGTTTAGATATTAAGCATGAAACATCTTCTAGTAAGTGTCTACAAAGTTTGTTCAAATAAAAGCCCTGGGGTCAAAACTGGCCCGGCCCCAGGGGTGTCATTGTTTTTAACTATATGTGTATAGTAAAAATCTTCTTTTAAAAAGCCCAATGAGCTAGAGCTTGTTTAGCATGAAACATCTTCTTATGGGTGTCTACCAAGTTTGTGCAAATAAAAGCCCTTGGGTTAAATTGGCCCTGCAACGTTGGGGGGGGGGGGGGGGGTGGGGGGCCTATATACAGGTGAGCGACTTCAGGGCCATCATGGCCCTCTTGTTATGAATTTAAAGTACCTTTATTTTCATTGAAAAAAATTAAGAAACTATAATTATAAGGAATTTCATGTAATTATGTATAATTATGTATTGTATTCAACAATAAAAAGAAAACATTATCCAGAAGTAAAAACAAGAATTCATTTACGTATGTATAAGTTATCTGCCCTTGAAATGACCTCAAATAAGTAGAAAATTCTGATTCAGGGGCAGATAACTCAAAAACGAGAACGGTGACCCCAATTTTTTTTTTTCGCTTAAAATGTTTCTGTTATCATATTCTACCAACATGCCAAGTTTAAAGAAATTCAATAGAACAGTTTTAATTTTGCCTATATGTCTATATGAAAACTCCTGAAAACGTCCTTAATGTAAAGGTATGAAAAGTTTTTGTTGTTGCTTAAATTGTAAAGTA